AACAAGGGCTACCACCTCCACAACAAGGGCTACCACCTCCACAACAAGGGCTACCACCTCCACAACAAGGGCTACCACCTCCACAGCAAGGGCTACCACCTCCACAACAAGGGCTACCACCTCAAAGGTCGCCACAAGGGATTCAGCAATACTCCAATGTTGTGGGTCTACGATCACCACCAAACTCAAGACCCGGGAATACGACATCGATGCACCCGATGCAAGCACAGGTTGCAAACAACTCTTTAGTGACGGCACCGGGATCTGTACAGAGGGTAGTTTCACCTTCAACGAACAGACAACCTACCCCCCAGGGCATGACCATTGTGTCTCCACGAGAGCAGGGATTGGCACAGAACGCTCAAACTGGAACCAATAGCCTTCCAGTTGACTTGCCACCTCGCCCTATCGTATCCATAGCGGTAGTTTCCAACGGGATTGTTTTATCGTGGAACATGCAGAACGCCCAAAGCTCTCCCAGGATCGTCCGCTATCAACTGTTCGCACTTCAAGACATGGGGACCACCAACCCTCCTTCCCAGTGGAAAAAAATTGGCGTTGTCAATGCGTTACCGTTACCAATGGCGTGTACCTTAACCCAGTTTATGCCCGGAAACAAGTATCATTTTACGGTGAGAGCTCAAGACGAACATGGACGTTGTGGGCCTTTAAGTGAACCTTGTACCATAACATTAACTTAGGTAGTTTTTAACTCATATTTTTAACTCTGTAATGTGTTTGTGTGCAATTCTGTATATTTATATGTTACATTTAAGATATAGGAACCATGCCCCAGAATGCAACACTAGTGTCCTCTGCATTCTTTTACACAAAAATTTATTGCGATAATCAGAGAAACTAAAGGTGGTAAATCAAAATCCATTTTGACATCATATCGCAAAGTTTCCTGCAACGAAAATGGCGGTAATATCATCCTGACCAGCCGTACACCGAAATAATTCAATAAACCACTTGCAGCACTTTGGAATGCAGCTCAATTTGGAGGGCAAAACAATAGGTTTCCAATTCTCAGAAGATGGAAATTCTTTTGTTTTGTCCTCCAAATTGAGCTCCTTCGACGTCACATGCAAGAGGAAGGGGTGTATTCATTTCGAGGGGCATCAAAACAATAGCGTCTTCGAAGCCAAGGAAAGTTTGGTAAAGATCTTTGTATTTCTCGAGCATTTTGGGCTGTTGACAGAGATTACGCATATTCCCCAGTGCGGATTGATCCCCTAATTCACGTGGTAACCAAAATGTTCGGACATCGTTTTGGAATCAGTATATTCATACGAAAATGTCCGAACTTCTTGGTGACTGTAACACAGTTCAATACTATTTACGTTGGCTACCGCTAAAAAGGTGAATTCCCATTTACGTCTTTGCCAAGGTTTCTTTGACCTTCAGAAGGGTGAAAGTCCACAAATTTAAGAAGTGTTTGTACGATGGAAATCGTTACGCTGAGCAATAGCCCCATCACAACCAGATAGAACGTTATATGTGGTAAAAAAAGGCTTATCCATAACTATTAATTTCAAGTATTCAATTGTTATATATTTGTATTACTTGGCATTCCGAAGTTGTAGCATAAACTGGGTCCAATTTGCATTGTGGGACTGTAGAAGACATGTTACCAAGACGGTGTCTTTTTTGTCCCTTTTGAAGTGCAAATGAACCCTTCGACAATACTTTCAGTACTGATTCTACATGAAGTAAATAGTTGAATGGTAAAATATTTCCTGATTTGAGTGATGCATCTTTAAGTTATGAAGGTTTATACTTCCAATATGCTAATGAGTGTGACGTCTATTAAGGCCTAATTAAATATACAAAATCGAACTGGTTCATAGATACAGTATTTAAAAAGCATCATTATTTTGCTTATGATTTTCATGAAAGCTATTTAAAATTTGTATTTTCAAAATGACCAGCATTTAGTATTACTAGCTACAACAAAAACACTCAAATACCTTACCTGACGTCGTCATCATTAACATACCTCCATAACTTAAAGATGCATCACTCAAATCAAGAAATATTTTACCAATCAACTATTTACTTTATGCAGAACCAGTACTGAAAGTATTGTTGAAGGGTTCATTTGCACTTTAACAGTCACACAATGCACTGCAATGCCATTTCGACCCAGTATTTTCCTCCACCTAAAATGGCTAATATGTGGAGTATCATCCTGAGTAGCTATCATTGTAGATTATTGGGCATCATTTGAAAATGGCCTAGAGCGCTAGCCCTTTTTTGTATGAAGGCAGGGATAGAGCCTGGAACACTAGACAGGTCTTTCTAATCCCTTAGTACTTCATCAACAAAGGACCACGTCTAGGCCCACATCAAATAAGCGTAGTATAAGCCCTATTTTACACAAATATTTAAATTAGTTTTTAATTTTATTGCATTTTAGACAGCTTTGTGGAATGATTTTTTTGTGGTGATTCTAGGTCAGAAAATTAAGTTTTTTTTAAGAAACTGACTGATTTAAAGGCAAATAGTTTCAACAACTACCAACAACTAAAATGCTTCATAATAAAATGCCTTAAAGTTAGAACATTGTAAAAAATCTTTTAGTGTCCTTCCTTCCTTCCTTCCTCACTCTCTCCCTCTCTCCATCCATCCATCCCTCCCTCCCTTTCTCCCTCCCTCCCTCCCTCCC